GTAGTTCTAAAGAACAACCCAAAAAACATTTTTTCCCCCAAAATAAAATGTTGACAACAATCAATTTCGATTACGATGCGGCAAGACCCTAAGATAAGCACAAATCATTGCTTGTCATTTTGTTCTACCTCGGGTAGCGGTATCTAAAATCTGGAGCGGCCCTTCCGCTGACTATAAGTGGGTGGGGAAACATATAAAGGGAACTTTGGGCTGCTTGCCTCTGTTTTCTTGTCAAGCGCTACAGCCACACTAATGGATCTTGCGCTTTATGAATTTTATGTAGTTGCTTGGGCTGGGGTCAAGCTGCACTAAGGTTATATAATAGGAGGCCACAGTTAAAATATCCATCGACAAATTTGACCCCTTCAAGCCACTGCTGATGCCAATGTTCACTAATCTCTCATACTCCAGTGCTAATACTTCGTATGGACACGAATAAATCCTCAACTTTAAGAGCACAATGCGCCCTAACTTTCACATGGCTTCCCTTTTGTAGATACTCAAAGACAAACCATTTGCGTAGGAATTAAGGTACCATTTTGCCCAGAAAGAAACAGCATTTTCCAACCATTTAGAGCACACCATGCTGCTCTTGAGAACACAACGTTTTCTCTGTGGTAGATCCAGCAATGGAAGAAGAATTACCACAGCTCCTGCCCACAGTCACAATTCAATGCTTGAGCTTCACTCTTTCTAAGGATCTATGACCGCTGAAGCCATTGAAAACAGCTTGAGAGTTTTACCACCTGCTGCTAGTGCTGAATCTCACCCTCTATCTACTATATCACCCCAGGCCAGGTTCTGTGCTGCTTCGCCTAAAGTGCAGTAAGCGGTACCGGACACCTCTATGGCTGTTTGTTCGTGTTTCTGTTACTACATAACAATTACATCTGCGAAAATAGTTTTTCCAAAAAACTTCTTTCTGTTTTTCAAACAAAACTGAAAAGACAACTTTGGGACAATTAACAAAAACATGTTAAGCTATCTAGCTTAAATAGCCAGATTGCTTCATATAGAGAAAATCACCAAAGCTAGAAAACACGGACATGTGTGAATACAAAAACAGCCACCACACAAACACACTTATTTACGACGTAGACGATACTACATCGATTTTACAGACTACTGATAAACGCTATGTTTTTTTTTTTTGTTTTTTACGTTCTCTTCTTGAGAATGAGTTCACGCCGTGTGTTGTACTCACAGTCTGAAAGCTTATTCAGTGAGTCTTCAAAGCGAGTGCAAGTCCTCCTCAGTCTGCCTCCAGGTTCAGCCTCTCAGTCCCTCAGTGCCTCCTCAAATCCACTGAGCTGAAGGAGACTCTGCAGTCACATCAGGGATTATTTCGGCAACAGAAAGAAGGTTAAAAGTTTACTCACTGAATCCAAAAACATCACGGTGGATCACCAGGAGGATTTACACTTTACAGATCAAAAGCTACATGGAAAACAGTGTGCTAAAAATAAAACAGTGTGATACTTAAAGGGGACCTATCATGCAAAATGCACTTGTGTACGTCTTTTATACATGAATATGTGTCCCCGGTGTGTCAGGGAACTCACCAAGTGTCAGAAAATACAACCCTCTGTCTTTTCCTCCATACCCAAACCTCTAAAAACGGGGCTGCAACGGAGTTGATTATTATTTGAATTTTTCTGACGTCAGAAAAGGGGTGCTCCGCCTATATGGGCAACTCTCCACCTATCAGGGGAATGAGAGACCGCTCGAAAGCGCTGGAGACGCTGTAGTACATATGCCAGGCCTGTAAGCGGCGCTGTAGTCTGCCACAAAAGCAGAATCAGCCCTTGCAAAAACAGGGCTGGAAAAGAGCAAATAAAAGAGCAAATAGAGCGAAATGAGGCATGGCTAAAATGCATGAACTGTTTGGTATTTTGAAAAAATGTTTTATATAGGTATGGCCCTACAATATATGTTTCAAATATAGCATGATAGGTCCACTTTAAGTAGCATTTTGGGATACTTATACTTTACTTCAGTATTCCAATATTTTGTTTCTGATTCTGATATGAACATTTTACCTACACAAACTCATCAGAAGTCAAAGTTCTTTTGGAAGCTGAGGGAGCAGATAGGAAAGTGTACATTCGTTTCCTGCCCACCTGTCGTGTTCTGCTCCCCCGCTGAACAAAGACCCCCTGCGTGGCACACCTGCAGTATCTTCATAAAAGCTCTCAAACTAAAAGATTCAGTGTGTGGGAGTGTGACAGAGAGAGAGGAGAGAGGGAGACTTTGGCCCGGATTGTTTCCTCTGCACATCATCGCTGCTCGCTCAGATCTCAGAAAACAAAGGAGAAGAGGGAGGGAAGGCACTTGAGCTAATAATGTGCAGCCTTTTCTGTGAATCTTTTGAAAACTGATCAAAACTAAAAGAACACTAGAGATCAAAACTCCAGTGCATTTATTAGGGTGTTGTGTCTCGTCAGATTTGTTAGTATTATTTATCTGTTTAATTCATATCGTCAAGTCCGCGTCTGCTAACCCTTTTTTGTTGTCTGTCATTTCCTGTTTTACTTTGTTAATCTCTTCTCTCATTTGAGGTAGTTTGACTCCTACCCTGTCAGTGTGTTAACTGACCTGATTACCTGCCCCTTGTGTGTGTATTTATTCTGTGTTTTCTCTGTGCCAAGTGCCAGATTGTTTCGACCCTTGTGTTACTTCTCAGCCAGTGGTTTTCTGAGCTACAGTGAATCTAATGGCACATTTCCACTGCAGCGGGTTAGCCCCGTTTAAGCGTCCCTAAGCGTCCTCGCTCAGGCCGCCTCGCTGGCCGTGGCTCATTTCCATTACAGTTTAGGACCTGGGGTAGCAACGCAGTGTAGGCGGGGCGGTCGGCTTTTTTTTGGCCAATGAGATGTAGGAACGTCGTCACCTCCTCGGTCGACCACGGTGTGCTTTTCTTTGACGTTGCCATTTTTGTAGCTCCTCCGTTTACAAAAATGCTGTGTATAAAAATGCTGCAGGCTTGCTTCTAGATATATATGCGACGCTAGGGATGATCTCGCGCGCGATCTTGTGTCGATTCTCTCGGACCAATCAGCAGTCGAGAGTGTTGATAGAACCACGATTTTATGGGGCCGGAAAAAGAGGGAAAAAGTACCCGCTAGCCGGTGCTACGCTATATGGAAAGGCCACCAAAAACTGGCCTGGCCGCTTGAGGACGATTAAGGACGCTTAAACGGGGCTACCCGCTGCAGTGGAAATGCGCCATAAGTTAGTTTTTTGTGAAGTCATTTGAGAGTTTCTGTTACCTTGCTTATCACCACAAGTAAATCCTTTTTTTAATCATCTTTTGTCTGGAGTCGTGCATTTGGGTCCTATCATTTTTGTGTGTGCCCCAGTCGTAACATAGGGTGCATCTCACAGGGATCGTCACATCAACATTATTGTAATATGAAAGGGGGAAACGTGTCATGCAGAAACACTGAACTCAGCTTTAAAAATGGGTGTGGCTGCTCCTCTGAAATGGTAACGTGAGTTATTCGGAGCGGAGTACAATCCCTTGTTATTACAAGGACTATTTTGTTCAATGATTTAAGATACTCGTGAATTTCCAATGTCATCCTGTATGACAGCTTGTTCTCTTTCCCTCTTATCAGCATCGCCCTCCAAAGCTTTTTTCACCCCACGTTCCTCATTCAATAGTAATTCTCTCTTTCTCTCCTACTCTTCTCCTCCTCCCTACATACTCATCTTTTCGCTTGTCACTTTCCCTTCATGTCAATTACTCCATTTCTCCTTCCTCTGGCACTGCTCCCCCTCTCGAACACCTTCTCCATTCGTATCCCACTATTTCGTCATCCCTCCTTCTCATCCTCCTACTTTTCTTTTAATTCCACATGTTTTTGTCTCCCCTCTCTCATCTATTTACTTCATTGACACTTCATTTCTGTCATGTGCTTTCATCCATCATCGCCTTCCTATGCTTTATCAGTTCTTTTGCATTCTCTCTCTTCTCCTAACATACCAAATGGTTTTCCTCTTCCTGCAGGACGTTCCTTCCTTCTACCTCCTCAGCCCTTCTTCCTCCTCCTTGTCCTTTGCTTCATCCCACACATTCTTCTATCCCTCCAACATGCAGCATCTTCTCTCCTTCTCCTTCTATATTCATCGCAGCAATGAGTGAGTGACCTGAATCTGTCTCTTTGCATTACGACCCCTCCCTTCAGCAGCTCAGGAACACCTCCGAAAACAAATAGTGCTGCTGCCACCTTGGCTTTAGTGCCCTCTTTTGTGTGTATGACTGTATGTGTGTGTAATTGAACCTGAAGTGTTAAGGAAGACAGCTCTGTGTGCTAGTACTACAAGTACACCGGACTTGGCTGTGCCTCATTTATGTGGGAGTCAGTTTATTGGAGGCAATGTGTGTGTGTGTGCGTGCGTGCGTGCGTGCGTGCGTGCGTGCGTGCGTGCGTGCGTGCGTGCGTGCGCTTTCCATACAGTATGTTTATCCGTATGCCAAGCAGAGAACCTTAAATGTGCCTTTTCCAGTAAAAGAGAAACTTCAGATTATCTCACATTGCCAGTGTCTTGAACGTATGTGCATATATTCTTGCGTTTATGTTTCTGTGATATCTTCTATATGCACAGATTCTGGCATGTTTTCTGTAATTGCTTGTGCCTTACCATCCATCACAGGGCTGTTTTTCTCACGCTTTCTTCCGTCACAAACTTGTTCTCCCTTCTGCGGGGAGACGAAGCAAGAAACTTTTTTTCAAAATCATTCTGACAATTGTTTTTGTTTTTCTTCTTCCTTTAAAAAAAAGAACTGAACAAAAGCATACATAACAAACTTTCTAGAAAGGGGTTGCGTGGGGGTGGGGTTTGGATGGGGAGAAAGAAACATCATATCTGCCAAGCAGGAAAACAATCAAGGCAGATAGCACTGAGTTGTCAAAGAGTGTGACACAACCAAAACACTGACGTCCCACCATGGGAAAACGAAAACACTCAGAGAAAAACATTCTCTCAAAAAACTTTGTTTTCACAGTCAACCTTTCTCACCGTACTTCAACCGTTCAACTTTCATTTTTCGCAAAATCATGTTTCCAAGGTGCAGCAACATTAACTTTTGTGGAAAATGTACTTGACACTGGCAGGCTAATGGATGCACTTACTTGAAGGTTGGTTGTGGCGTTGTTGTTGGAATACTAAGCAAGTTTAAAAAGAAGAAAAATAACAGACTTGGATTTCAACTTGAATGACACTTTGAAATGGTGAGTGCAGAAATGTCAAAAAAATAGTTTAACATGACAGACTCAAGTTTACATTTTTGAACTCGACTGAAAAGTTTTTGACGCTTGTGTGTTTGATGACTGATGCCTCCCTAAACTCCTACGCCATCATCACCAGGCCTTCTAAACATGATTCAGCATTTTCTGCTTATATTTGATTAAAACAATACATTTTATTTGATACTTTTGGCAATGTTACCAGAACAGTAGCCATTTTGTTGTATTTATAAAGAAAACAAAGGCTGGTCTGTCAATTACCATTTGAATCCCAATAAGCTAAAAGTTGTCAGTTTAGGTTTTGTAAGAATTCTACAGTAGCAAAAATACCTATTACTGTACGAATAAAACATTTCCAGGGGCAGTAAAATCCCTCTTTATATACCAGAAAGATATTCAGCCCCGGAGATATTTTGATACTTGGTGTAGACTACACACAAACCAGGACCCCATGCTCCCCGGGCGACAACACTACCACAGCACCTGAGGTAAAGTTCAGCTTCACAGAGCCTTTTCCAGATCCAGACATTCTCCCTTTCTTCTCTCAAAATCCGATTTGATAAACATGAGAGGGTGCCATATTTTTCGCTGGGAGTGGACCAAAGAAATGTATAACCGCAGAGGACTCTAACTAGCCAAAAGGAAAAACTATCCCTGCCAATGATGTCCATAGAGGGATATAAACCGACTACAAATGCATAAAATGTTCTTTAAAGATATATGACTAATGACAATATTACAGGGATATAAGATATAACACACCTGTGGGCGTTTGATGAGTACATTTGATTCATTCTGTCACTTGCTTTGTATTCTTGTGCTGTGCATGTTCTGTACTGTAGGTGTACGCCATCAGACTGTCTTTCCATATTTCTTGTTTTAAAGTGTACGATTACTCTTTTAAACGGTGAACAGCTTGCAAGTCAGATGGCAGAGCTTGTTTACTTTAAATTGGCAAATCAACAGATCTCCTGTTCAGCCAAAACAGTAGAGGATGAGTCTAAAAGTACACTAAGTATGAGCAATGGAAAACTGTATTATGATGTTTAGAAAATGTTTTGCTGTAAAAGAGCTGAAGTAGGAAGTTGTGTCTATTATACATTTTGGTATGGTGCATGTATTTTATTATAATGTAATGTATCAGATTCTGATTGATTTCCTTATTGATCGAAACACAAGTTTTCTTTACATTTAGAAACCAGGGTTGATTGACATAAGTCTTGTCAGTGACGATATATGGTAATGTTTGAAGAGGTAGACAACCTCACAGGGTGTGTGTGTGTGTGTGTGTGTGTGTGTGTGTCAACAGAAGCAGTGACCCTGGACAGGATTGTAGAGTTGGTGCAGTTTAATGGGCCGTGGCTGAGGCAGTGGCCCGGTCAGTGAGTGCTTTGCTTTAGGTAGCGTCAAGGATGCCTCAGCCACTCAAGACATGCTGTGAATTCACACAGTCACAACTCAACATGCCACATCAGGCACACCACAGGAAAAGTTGTGCTACTTTCCCCAGCATTGCCGTTGAAAGATAGTGTAAGCTCCATGTTAAACGCCAGTGGATGCATTCAATGATGAATCTCAGACTTTGAATATGAGTGATATAAAAATTGGACGTCAAAACGTACCTGCCTATTTAGTCTGAGTAACAAAGGGAGACTGCAGCATGTCCGATCCCTAATTTAAAACCCCACAGATCCACTTCAAACTCATTTAAGATGTCAGACCAAATTCATTTTAGCCGTCAAGTCTCATTAGTAGCAGACCATTTTGACACACAGGAATAACACAGCATAGCTGGACTCAACAGAAATTGGTAAAACTGCAGAAAAATTATCATCACCTCAACACAAACACTAAAAACATTTGTATGTAGGCTAAGTATATATATGTATAGTTAACAGAGAAAACATAATTTATCTGCTATGGAGTCTTATGTGTTTGAGTGTAAAACAAAAGGCTTGTATTACAGAGAGAATGGCAGCATGAATTGATGGGATGCTTTTTACACGATGACTTAATTATCTGCACTTTTCTAGTGACATTCACTCCACCACTATGAGCTCACCACAGAATACGTTTTAGAGGAACTTCAAGTGCTCATTTCACAGGATCTTTGAGGAATGACAGAATATAAACCCTTCTTACAGCAGACATGTTGATCCGTCCATAGGTGCAGCTAAGAACATTAAAGATGGCTGCCTCTCATTCAGGGTGTTCTACTTACAGCGCAGTAAGCAGTGCTTGCTCTCACTGGCGCGGCATGCTGACACATTTAAATCTCCAGCGCCTTTGTTAATGTTATTAGCTACACCTGTGCTTCCCTGCTGTGACACGTCAGACATCTGCACTTAGATGGGGGTAAAGCTAAGGAGCGTAACAAAAGCCTGAGCAGCACAGATATGCAGGATATATAATAAACTGTGACATTCAGGGCATGATATCAAGCAAGAAAATTATCCCTAATCCTGATGATGAAAATAGCTCAGTGTGGCATCATGTTGCAGGTCGCTCCTCATCTCTGTACCGTGACAGTCCAGTCATCGATCTGGCTGAGGACGCTGGCTTCGATTAGAGCTCAGGTGGAGGAAGCGATGGTTGGGGCAGCAGAGATTGAGGAAAAGTCTGATATGATGACTGCTTCATCTTGACAACACCTCCCTTGAGTCCAGCTCCTTTCACCTCCTTCCACTGCTCCTTCCTATTTCCACCCTTCCACTCCTGGCCCCACAGGACTCAGTGGAGCGATAGACAGAAACGGAGCCCAGTCACCTCCACCTGGTTATTATCAGCCACGCACCTGCTGCCTCTTCCTCTCCTCTCCTGCTCCAACTCTTTCCTGTTTTAGGCTCCTCATCCTCACTCAACCCTGACTAATGGGGATATTTCATTTTTGATTTTTGGCAGCGTATGCACATGGGGGTGCACTGAAGCTATAATTCAAAGCTCAGTCTGGTTCTTCAGAATGTGATGGAGATTGTCTGTGTTTTCTTCGTCTCTTGCATGGTTTGTTTCTACATGATGACACTGACATGACATATTGTCTATAAACCTCCTCCGCTGGAAGACAAAATGCTTCGCCTATGCGTAAAGTGTAATGTGCTAAACCAGTCGTTACCTTCGCTTTCAACTCTCTCCCAACCATCCTGTGATGACTCCAGTGTGACAGGTTACCATGACTACCTGACATTGAAGGCACCTCTCTATCCATCTGTGCTGCAGCAATTGCTTCCACCCACCCTGCACTAACCCTCCCTCTAGCTCCTTTCTAGCACTTCTTCCCCCTGCAATACAAATGCTATTCATTCAGAGAAGAGAGGAGAAGGTCAAGGCAGGCAGCTCTTTGAAAGCTTCAGCTCCAGAATAACTGAACTCAGCTGACAAAGGCGGGAGAGAGCGAGCAACAAGCAACAGGGGCTATAAAAAATTCATAACAAATGGAAAGGCAGTGGAAGTCCAACAATATGTGAACTGTGCACTGTGAACTTCTCTCTTTGTTGCTTGGCTTTGCTGCTCTGTGTTGCAGTCGATTATTACGTATCAAAGTTCTCTACTGGATTCAAGGCCTCCCGACTTATATTGCATATTCTTTATTGTAACAACTACTACTAGAAAATTCAAAAATAACTCAGACGCACTGCTTTGAAAGTGGATTTGAGAGTGCAACAAAGGATCAGGGGCATGATGAGATGAGGAGTACTTTATATCCAAGTTTACACTATTGTAATTCCTACACTTCTTTGCAGCATTTTTATTTTGTCAACCGGGCACATTATGTGTGTCAGTGAGCTAAACATCTGCAATCATTCCAAATAATTGTGCTGAAGATGAATAACACAGAAGTCTCTTTTGGTAGAGAGTAAAGTCCTTTTATGTACTCTCTGCACAAGCTGATATATGAGCTACCAGGGAATACACACTGTGCCGTCCCCGCTACAGTACATAAAAGCACATCTGAACATTCAGCATGGCTGCTTGGTACACGAGCTGATCTTTTTTATATCATGCAGTAATTCAAGCAGCAATTTGCAGAGTAGCTTACTGGAAAAGAACCTCAGTTTAGAGTAGACAGACTGTCCCATTGACTAAGGTATCGGTAGTTTATAATTCAAATGCAGGAATATACATAACACTTTTTGACAAGTTCTTAAAAATTACAATTGTACTGTAAGTGCTGATTCCAGATAATGATTTTAAAGCAAGTCATTTGAAAAAAAACAAAAAATATGGTTGTCTTGAAACTGTTAAATTGAAGCTAAATCCAGGATGAAATAATCTAAGCTAAGAGGCAGTCCTCCGCTAAGGCTGTTCCAACAAGCAAGAAATTCAACATGCATTTACGACGTGATATAGATTACAGGTTCTCCCTCGGCCAATGCAACACCCTTTCACCAATTTTACTTAAAACAGAAGTACATTTTACGAAATACTGCTAACAGACAGACAAACAAACCAACACACTAACTTCCATTGCAAAATAATGAAATACAGTAAAAATCTACCAACCAACATATTACTAATAAACATGTATTGTGCTTGTTCTGCAATAACAAAACTGTAACAATTGGCAACTTGTGGTTTTACAGGGAGCAACTGCTTGTGCTATTGTATTAGCTGTAAAGTGTCTCTACTGTAGGCTATTTTTATTATATGTGCA